GGTGGTTTCTGCGCTCAGATCAAGTGTATTTCGACATGTAATCATCAGAATGGCAGTTATTCTGTTTGTACTTGCCAGTGTTTCCCTTCCCATCCCCTTTTCTGTTCCATGTGATGTTTCGATATTCTAGTCCAAGAGATGATTCATAGTAAAGCTTTAAAAGTAGACATCCAAACTAGAAATTATTCTAGACCCCAAGAGTAGCTACACTGTTCTGTTGTTCTATCTTTTAACCATATTTGTAAAACAACAAATGTCTGTGACTTTAAAAGTAAATTAGATTTGAATTCCTACAGTAATATCATTTCTTGGATAATGATATATTCCCGAGAACTGGAATTCTGAGATTGCATAAAGACACACAAGTGAATAGCTATTAATACAAATTTAGAATTAGATAGAGACAAATAATAAATGTTAGGAAGTGACTGAGAAGAAAAATAGTTGTAGTCGTGCATTCATCACGGATTTCCTACTTACAAATTTGTTATATACAGAACGATTAGATAATTCTGTTTTAAAGTAAACAACTCAAAATACAAGACCCATTTTCATTTATAAATTCTTATTCAACTTGTTCAGGGAAACAGTTCTATCTGTATCAGATGGCCATTTTATCACCAAAGAATTGGGTCATAAAAATTGTTGAACTAACTTGAAGCAATAACACTCTAGTAGTAGCACATGTGTTACACCTATATCAAATATTACTCTGTTATGATTCAACGTCACCAAATCACTGACGTTCCATAGAAAACGTCACGGTGACGGAATATACATAGAAACGACGGAGAGATTAAGTCTCGAGTGTGTAGCTATCCAATCACCCTAGATTTTACATGTAGTATGGCTGTATACAATTAAATCTCAAGTTCATCGCTGTGTTAAACGTTACATATTACAACACATTGTGATTTACATATTTTATTTATGTCTTATATTAAAAAATGTATGTTCGAAATTGTACATTGTAACTGTAAAACATGTGTCTCGTGTTCATACTTATACCTTAATTTAACCTCTTGCGATTTAGTTTATTTTTTTTATTCAATGTTCAACAATTCTACACATACTCACGTAATTTACATTATAGATGTTCATATTAAATAGTTTAATTGATAAATATATTCTCTTTAGTGACCACAAATACAACGAAACACTGACTAAACATGAAAATAACTTTATTTAATATCATAGAATTATTGTATCTGCAATAAACAAACACAAATAATTAAATATCAGCAAAATGAAAACCTTTAAAATTTAATTCGTACGAAAGGAAACCACTTGTAGGAGTTGTATAACAGCACAGTACTTGTAATGAAACATTAAAAACATCTTTGTATTGAGAATGAAAAATAACATTTAAACATATTTCCTTCATAAGTTTACAAAGTATTGAGATATTGCCACACGTAGTTATCTATTTCCTAAACAGACTTAAGGATACAGGTTATTACAGTACTATGTTGACTGTGTAGATCCATGTTTCCACCGACCTACAAAAGTATTCCTTTTATAAACCTGAGGTATCTCACGTCATATGACGTACCCCAATCTATCCTTGTTATTAACGTGACATTTCGAAACGTAATATTTATGTCGGAAAGCATTTTTACATTGTAAACTTACCACAATCTATTATGTTTCAACCTATAGTGGTATGTAACTGCCATGTGCTTGTCGTGTTGCCATGGTGATTTATCGCAACAAATTGAGTCGTATTCATACGACTTTTTATGGTAATATCGTGTAAAGACGTCAAATTGAGTACACTTGTTGTGATAAATATCGCAAAAAAAATGGTCTCTGGGCCGCCTTAAGTATCATAACAACACGACATTTTGTTGTAATAATGCTCGGATCTGACATGCGTTAAAACTGTACTATCTCTAAAATAGACCGACATAATATTCGGGAAACCTCGGGCCGAGCGAGAAATGCCAGTTAACAAAGATTATTAACTGAATATTGATAAAACGTTGGATTCACCGTAAAGTTATTCAATATTATTAGATTAAAATATTAGATATTAACTAAGCACACGTGTAATATACATTTCTCTGAACAGGATTATTAGATAATCACACACATACTGCTGACACTCTCAGGTAAACATGGTATTACCAGTATCACATTGCTTTCTTCCGTTAGAAACCCAAAACAGAAATGTACCTTATTGTTTAATGGTAGTATTTGTCAACGCAACATACAGGAGTAAAAAATGAAAGTCGTAAAAAAGACACTTATCATGTTTAAAGATCACAACGGTTACATAAACCAAACTATATATATGTTATTAATATAAATATGGTTGTAAATATGGATATAGAAAAAAAATTAAAGAATGGAAAACTACACATAATCACACACATACCGCAAACACAGTCAGGTAAACTGTAGTATAACATGATTATCTAGACATAATCACACACATACCGCTAACACAGTCAGGTAAACTTTAGTATAACATGATTATCTACACATAATCACACACATACCGCTAACACACTCAGGTAAACTGTAGTATAACATGATTATCTACACATAATCACACACATACCGCTTACACACTCAGGTAAACTCTAGTATAACATGATTATCTACACATAATCACACACATACCGCTAACACACTCAGGTAAACTCTAGTATAACATGATTATCTACACATAATCACACACATACTGCTAACACACTACGGTAAACTCTAGTATAACATGATTATCTACACATAATCACACACATACCGCTTACACACTCAGGTAAACTCTAGTATAACATGATTATCTACACATAATCACACACATACCGCTAACACACTCAGGTAAACTCTAGTATAACATGATTATCTACACATAATCACACACATACCGCTAACACACTCAGGTAAACTGTAGTATAACATGATTATCTACACATAATCACACACGTACCGCTAACACACTCAGGTAAACTGTAGTAGAACATAATTATCTACACATAATCACACACATACTGCTAACACACCCAGGTTAACTATAGTATAACATGATTGTCTACACATAATCGCACACATACCGCTAACACACTACGGTAACCTGTAGTATAACATGATTATCTACACATAATCACACACATACCGCTAACACACTACGGTAAACTTTAGTATAACATGATTATCTAGACATAATCACACACATACCGCTAACACACTCAGGTAAACTGTAGTATAACATGATTATCTACATATAATCGCACACGTACCGCTAACACACTCAGGTAAACTTTAGTATAACATAATTATCTACACATAATCACACACATACCGCTAACACACGTACCATGATTGTCTACAACACACACATCACACCCAGGTAAACTATTAGTATCTAACATAATCACACACATGATTATCTAGACATAATCACACACATACCGCTAACACACTCAGGTACACTGTAGTATAACATGATTATCTAGACATAATCACACACATACCGCTAACACAGTCAGGTAAACTTTAGTATAACATGATTAATCACACACATAATCACACACTGTACCATGATTATCTACACATAACACACACGTCAACACACTCAGGTAAACTGTAGTATATGATTATCACATATAATCACACACGTATCTACAATAATCACACACATACCATAATTATCTAACACACACACATCTGGTAACACACTTTAGTATAACATGATTATCTACACACATGTATCACACACTGTACATGATTATCTACACACACACGTATCACTCAGGTAAACTGTAGTATAACATGATTATCTACACATAATCACACACATACATCGCTGTACACACACACTCAGGTAAACTGTAGTAGAACATAATTATCTACACATAATCACACACATACTGCTAACACACTCAGGTAAACTGTAGTATAACATGATTATCTACACATAATCACACACATACTGCTAACACACCCAGGTTAACTATAGTATAACATGATTATCTACACATAATCACACACATACCGCTAACACACCCAGGTTAACTATAGTATAACATGATTATCTACACATAATCACACACATACCGCTAACACACCCAGGTTAACTGTAGTATAACATGATTATCTACACATAATCACACACATACCGCTAACACACTCAGGTAAACTGTAGTATAAAATGATTATCTACACATAATCACACACGTACCGCTAACACACTCAGGTAAACTGTAGTATAACATGATTATCTACACATAATCGCACACATACCGCTAACACACTCAGGTAAACTGTAGTATAACATGATTATTTCTACAGCTTGCTTATTCACATATACTTAATTGCTGACTATCGTGTTTTCCATTCTTTTAACTTATTTCTATATTTGCTGGACACGGAGAATTCACCACAATTTTATTATATATATACTTATTTAATGTCATACTTGTTGGCATTACTTATGATGTTTATGACACGATCCTGACAACTTTTGCTTTTGACGAGCTTAAAAGAAAGAGGTTAAAAGAACCGTGACGTATTTTCGTATCTCAAATGAACGAATGTAAGATTCTGTGTATCTTAAATACAAAACTGAATCGGCGATTTACCTACTCCATATCTACAGGATTGGTGACGTCACACGGTAGTTGGCGTCAAGAAGTTATGTCACATCGAAACAATGGCAACTTTCAGTCAAGGACTGCTCCCCTATTGTAATAACACACGTGGACGTAACAAAAATGTGCGTAATGAGTCTAATTTCACTGATACTGTGTATTATTCTGTGATATATATACATTTTCTTCTTTTTTCCTCAACACCTCGATCTAAACTACAAACGTGTTCCTCGAGTATCACTGATGAAGAGTTGGTTTTCTTAGTTAACATCGACATGTCAACGTGTCTCCTATAACATAGATATATTTATATAACGACTTTGTTAGATGTACCTCTGCACTGTTCAATGCTTAATATATAGATTTGAATATTAATTTCGTCACACAAGTTTAGGTGTGTCGTCGTCACTTATTGCGAATGATGTCCTCGTAAGCTGGGGGCGGAGCTTCGTAAGGGGGCGGAGACATTTGGATCCAAATGGGTGGTGGTTGAATCAGATCCGATGGTTCACCTCGTCCGTCTATGGTTAATGAATTATAAGCTGAAATAATGAAGTAATTTTTATATAACAGTTTATAAATTATTTTGTTGTTAGTAAAATTAATAAAAGACACAATTTATATCCGATAGAAGTAGTGTACATGTACATAAAACGGTACCAAAGTCCACAGAATATATTGACGTTCAACCTTGTATAATGAGAACATCAGCCTGGCCGTTTTGGAGAAGACAGACTGATACATCATACCATTACTACAATACATTACATCATAACGATAACAGGCTGAGTCTTCAAAATGTTGACCATTTAGAAGCAGATACCCAATTTTCAGTAAATCCCTGAAAACAAAACGTCAAAGACACAGTGTGTAGCCCGTTTAGGGAGTGTTCACGCATGAACGACGTTCAACCATTATGGAAACTACTATATTACACTTAAAGTAAAGACTTACGTGGGGGCTGCTCTGTATCTGATTGGTTTGCCATGCCACGATTTCCTCGGCCATGGGTCGCACATGACGTCTGGCCACGTGTTTGTTCCCCGTTTCCGGTAATGGCACAACCCAGAAGGATGCAACATGGAGAATGAGAGCAACAGTCCCCTCGTGGTATTCCATTGGATGATGGAGATTCTGGTTCAGAAGGAACACACCCATTTGATTCCATGCGATCAACACAAGGGCGAAAAGTATCGAATTTTCCGAAGAGTTTCCGCAAACACATACAGGGATTCTTGCTGCGAGCGCCAAACACGAAACAAGAAAAACCCACAAACAGGAGACTGGCTAGACCACCTACAAGTACTTCCATCATCGAACTCGACCTCTGACCTGTAAACAAATTCAATATATTATTAATCATTGTTCTATATTACATGAAAACTTATAATGACTAACACTAATCGCGGCAGTTCTTCAATATAAAAAAATTACAAATGGAAATTTACAAAAACCTTGTGCTATACAGATGTTCATATCTAATATTCCATTTGCAATATGTTGATATAGATACTGTTATCACAGCAGGACTATTTCAATCAGCCCAATTATTTCATCTTTCTCATCTAACATATCAAATCTGTTTTTCTTCATTTCTCATTCTAATCAAAATACTTTTTCATATTCCAGAGTGTGTTTTACTTTCATTTCTCTTTCTGATCAATTCTATTTATCAGCATATCAAATCTAACTACATCATATCGCTAAATCCCATGTAACCACACTATATATCGAACACCTCCCTTCTGTCTCTACCATATAACAATATTATATGTAAGTATTTATATTCCGAAGTAAAAGAGAAGATATATATTTCTTCTAAATGTATCATTTCTCTCTATGTGTTATATAAACATATCTCTTCTCTCTATGTGTTATATCAACATATCTCATCTCTCTATGTGTTATATCAACATGTCTCTTCTCTCTTTGTGTTATATCACCATATCTCGTCTCTCTATGTGTTATATCAACATGTCTCTTCTCTCTTTGTGTTATATCACCATATCTCGTCTCTCCCTGTCTCGTCTCTGTATGTGTTATATCAACCTATCTCTTCTCTCTATGTGTTATATAAACATATCTCGTCTCTCTATATGTTATATCAACATATCTCTTCTCTCTATATGTTATATCAACATATCACTTCTCTCTATGTGTTATATCAACGTATCTCGTCTCGCTATGTGTTATATAAACATATCTCGGCTCTCTATGTGTTATATAAACATATCTCGTCTCGCTTTATGTTATATAAACATATCTCGTCTCTCTATATATTATATCATCTTATCTTCTCTCTATGTGTTATATCAACATATCTCTTCTCTCTTTATGTTATATCAACATATCTCTTCTTTCTATGTGTTATATCAACATGTCTCTTCTCTCTATGTGTTATATCACCATATCTCGTCTCTCTCTGTGTTATATCAACATGTCTCTTCTCTCTATGTGTTATATAAACATATCTCTTCTATCGATGTGTTATATAAGCATATCTCGGCTCTCTATGTGTTATCTCAATATATCTCGTCTCTCTATATATTATATCATCATATCTCGTCTCTCTCTGTGTTATATTAACATGTCTCTTCTCTCTATATGTTATACCAACATATCACTTCTCGATATATGTTATACCAACATATCTCGTCTCTCTATGTGTTATATCAACATATGCGTTTCTATATGCTATATCACCTTCTCTCTATGTGTTATACCAACATATCTAGCTCTCTTTCATATATTTTATCTCGATATGTTATATCAAAATCTTCTCTCTTGTGTTATATCAACATATCCAGCTCTCTATATGTTATATCAATTTCTTTATTTTTATTTTGGATGTCTCTATATGTTATATCAACATATCTCGTCTCTCTATATGTTATATCATCATATCTTCTCTCTATGTGTTATATCAACATATCTCGTCTCTCTATATGTTATATCAACATATCTCGTCTCTCTATATGTTATATCATCATATCTTCTCTCTATGTGTTATACCAACATATCTCGTCTCTCTATATGTTATATCAACATATCTCGTCTCTCTATATGTTATATCAAACCATATGTGTTATACCAGGATATCTCGTCTCTATATGTTATATTAAAACTCAATGACAAAGGATATCAACATATCCCTCTCTATATGTTATATCAGATTATGCAGTGTTATATTAACACTATTTCTCTATATCAAAATATCTCATATATGTTATATCAACATATCTCGTCTCTCTATGTGTTATATCAACATATCTTTCTATTGTGTTATATAAAATATCTCCCTCTCTAGTGTTATCACTAATATATCTCAATTTATAAAATATCTGCTCTCTCTTTGTGTTATATAAACATGCTCATGTGTTATATAAACATATCTGTCTCTCTATATGTTATATCATCATATCTTCTCTCTATGTGTTATACCAACATATCTCGTCTCTCTATATGTTATATTAACATATCTCGTCTCTCTATGTGTTATATCACCATATCTCGTCTCTCTATATGTTATATCAACATATCTCGTCTCTCTATATGTTATATCAACATATCTCTTCTTTCTATATGTTCATCAGTTACTACTTTAACTTTATAACACAAATCCAGTACCGGATTTCATCTTCAATTAAAGCATATCTTTATATTCTACATCAGATTCATTTCTGGTGATGATATTTTATTTATCACTAGAGCTAATATTAAGCACATCTAGTGCAAGCGAAGTCATCGTCAGACCTCCAAATCCTGAATCAACTGTGTCTGCAAATCCAACCGGTGCCCTTCAGTATTTGCATTCCTATTCACGGTGGTTCATTCACAATAAACACAAACGTCTATGAACGTCCCAGACCAAGGGCGCTGTCCTCTGATTCTGACAGTGATTGATTTTGAAGTTTCCGGCGGGAACCAGATGACACCACTGTATGTGTCTGTATAAAAGCGCGCCTAATATAGTCCGCGATTTTCTACTATTATTTAGACAGTTCAAGTTTATAAGACAACTAATCGTCATTGTGTTATTATATGTAAACTTTAAAATTGTGAAAATAATAAAGAAATTAATTATTTATCACCATATATATTTTTGAATATTAATTGAAGCCTTTTCACTCCGAGTGATATCTCTACGCCATATTTGCATATGTCAGCAAATTGTTTACATACGATACATGCATTGGTCTTCGCCTACCGCCTGTGATCTCGAAATAAGAATGGTAGAAACAGATTACACAACGAGTGGTTGTTGGATACGGCGTTTACTGACTGAGTTACTCTGGTTAGTTATTTTTTAAAAGTTACAAAAGACACTTCGAAAGCTCGTGTCTTTTGTAACTTTTAAAAAATAACTTACTTGAGTCTGGTCTTGGATATACTGAACGACTCGTCTGGTCCAACTGAACTTGACTCGTTGTGTAATCTCTATATCTCTTCTCGCTATATGTTCATCACTTAATACTTTAATCAAATAAAACAGTTATAACACATTAATCAATCTATTTGTATTAATCGGTCTATTTCATCTTTCTCATCTAACATATCTACTCTGTTTTTCTTCATTTCTCTTTCTAATTAAAGTATCATATTTCTTTATATTCCATACATCAGACGTTCATTTCTTTTTGTGATGATATTTTATTTATCAACATATCACTTCTAACTATATTGGTCAATCCCATCTAACTACACTTTATATCGAAACTCCCTTCTATCCGACCTAAGCAAAGGATATATTTCGTACTCACTGTCTATCGGATCATCTAAGCGTTGGATTATTGAAAACATTGTTGAAAATTTCCTGCATGAAGCTCATAGAGAAATAACATGTGGCAAATTACTACACTGAAAATATCTACAGCTGTCGCTGTTGATGGCACGAATCCCCTTGAAATGTCTGAAGTGTTAGCTCCACATTCAAGACGTTTGGCTGGGGACTGAGTTTGGTCTCTTATTAGGTCACTTGTGTTGCAATGTTTTTTTCCAAGAATTTGACTCTGTCTGGTCTTAGATATGACTGACTGAGTTACTTGACTCTGTCTGGTCTTAGATATGACTGAGTTACTTGGCTCTGTCTGACCTTGGATATGACTGAGTTATTTGACTCTGTCTGGTCTTGGATATGGCTGAGTTACTTGACTCTGTCTGACCTATGATATGACTGAATTACTTACTTGACTCTGTCTGGTCTTGGATATGACTGAGTTACTTGACTCTGTCTGGTCTTGGATATGACTGAGTTACTTGACTCTGTCTGGTCTTGGATATGACTGAGTTACTTGACTCTGTCTGGTCTTGGATATGACTGAGTTACTTGACTCTGTCTGGTCCTTGGATATGACTGAGTAACTTACTTGGTTTTTGTCTGGCCTTGGCTCTGATGTCTATTGAAACTTGAGACAACGACGTCTGTTTTGCCGTGAAGTGAAGATAGAAGTATCGAGTAGAGTTAACACAGTACAGGACGGGTGGCGCTGTACATGAGTAATTCTGAATGAAAGAAACACAACATCCATCGATGTAACGACTTTAAATAAAGCTTCTAACAAGGAATAAATCTGCACTACGCTGAACTGTTTCGTCATTTCAGTACTCTCCAGTTTGAATACATTGTTTAAACCTAGAAAACGTTCAGAAATCCGAAATCGGCATGACCTAATATAAACAACAGGAAGTATACTTATATCGTACTTACAAATTGAGTAAAGGAAAACGGTTTAAACTACGATATCTTATAAATGCCTAGTGGGCAGATGTTTTAGTGTTTCAACATAGGAATAAACAAAGACAGAAAACTGATAAATAAACAAGTAAAAAGAAAATTTTACAGCATAAAGAATTGGTAAGCTACTTATCAAGCGCAATGATATTATGAACTTACTTTGTTCGGTTGTGTTGAAAGGCCGTGGTAGTATTGCATGCTAAAGCCGCAGTCTGTGACGTCATACTTTAGGGCGGAAACACAGATTTGGTAGTAATTGACGTTCGGTACTCGAAAGCCAAGTCGACAGAGTTTAGGAAGATTTCTCCCATCCCACAATATGGAGTATGCCGTTGATATACTGATGTCATATACAGCAAACTGACAGGTAGTGTTATCCAGAGAAAGGATTCGACTATCAGCTCCTGTAAAATTGTTTCAAAACTGTTTCTCGAACTACACACTGCTTCAAGTCATTGAGAAATTATTGTATGCCGATATGGAATGTAAATATCTTTTTTTGTGTGTGTCTGTAAGTTGAAGAATTTATTCATTTACATTTATAATTCCAGACACGTGCTGCATTCCCTTTTCATTCGGTATTGCCTCCGTTTGTGTTGTATTAATTCTATCTCATTGATTTGGACGATTCGGACACTAATAGACTCGTACCAAATTATCTTTTGATTGATGACGTAATTAAACACACTAGAGTTTCGGCTCTTGTTCATAACATTTTGTATAAAACAAAATATCTTACCTTCAGTGGCGTCAGACCACTGTATCAGTACCAATGTTAACATCACAATACATGTTTTCAGAACACCAATTTCCTGGCCAGCAGTACTTCTCGCTGCTCCATGTCTCGCAGTGCCCAAGCTCATGTCTGTAACAAACTATTCAATCATATACTAGTTTGTGTAAAATAGCCAGTGAGTGCACATTAATTCAGTCCTGTTTTAAGACAGGCTTGATAGATCACCGTTAATGTAGCCTAGGATATAAAACCACATGTTACCGGGACATGTATTCCTCCCTGAAACAATCACGGCTGTTTACTGGTGTTATACTGACAATATACGTAAACAGCGCTGAAAATCTAACATCAATATTTCGATCAATATTTCACCTATTTGTATTCATTTTAGACGTATGATGTTTCATTACAAATTATTAATGATCTGGGCTAGATCGATTGTCTCTGTCGCTTTCAGTAACACGTCACATAAACCCACAATTTACTAGACACGTCACATCACATAAACCCACAAGTTACAAGACACGTCACATAAACCCACAAGTTACTAGACACGTCACATAAACCCACAAGTTACAAGACACGTCACATCAACCCACAAGTTACAAGACACGTCACATAAACCCACAAGTTACTAGACACGTCACGTAAACCCACAAGTTACTAGACACGTCACATAAACCCACAAGTTACAAGACACGTCACATAAACCCACAAGTTACTAGACACGTCACATAAACCCACAAGTAACTAGACACGTCACATAAACCCACAAGTAACTAGACACGTCCCATAAACCAACATGTAACTAGACACGTCACATAAACCCACAAGTTACTAGACACGTCACATAAACCCACAAGTTACAAGACACGTCACATAAACCCACAAGTTACAAGACACGTCACATAAACCCACAAGTTACAAGACACGTCACATAAACCCACAAGTTACTAGACACGTCACATAAACCCACAAGTTACTAGACACGTCACATAAACCCACAAGTTACTAGACACGTCACATAAACCCACAAGTTACTAGACACGTCACACAAACCAACAAGTAACTAGACACGTCACAGGAACCAGCAAGCACCTAGACACGTCACACAAACCCACAAGTAACTAGACACGTCACATAAACCAACAAGTAACTAGACACGTCACATAAACCAGCAAGTAACTAGACACGTCACATGAACTTACAAGTAACTAGACACGTCACACAAACCAACAAGTAACTAGACACGTCACAGAAACCAACATGCAACTAGACACGTCACAGAAACCCACAACTTACTAGACACGTCACATAAACCCACAAGTAACTAGACACGTCACACAAACCCACAAGTAACTAGACACGTCACACAAACCAACAAACAACTAGACACGTCACAGAAACTTACAAGTAACTAGACACGTCACATAAACCAGCAAGTAACTAGACATGTCACATGAACTTACAAGTAACTAGACCCAACAAGTAACTAGACACATGCATAGTGTCAACACTAGACATCCCAGTGTGGAGTATAATGTCACAAATTAGTCACATCTGAACACACACTTCGTGAACTGGTTTGGTTCCTTCAATTATATATTTTAGTATTTTCACTTCCTCTATCTACGCGTCCTTTAGTGACTTTTCCTAGTCTGGCTTATTTCGCACTTCCGGTTTTGAGTTTTGTTGTTCATACTATTATTTCTAGAATACTTTTGCTTACGATCATTCATAATTCAACCAAATTGTTCTCCTGATCAATTCCATACTATATGTGTCGATATTTTCCGCTATATTGTTAAAGTATCGATAGAATTTTCATCGTGGCATATGACATCCATTAAACCCAATATGTGGTAGACATGGCCACATGTGGTGTATACTGTCACTAAACCACATATAAAAATGAAAACAAAAATCGGTTAAGTGGTATGTATAAGTAAGGGTCCCATGATAGATTGGGTTCTAATATAACTAAGTTTCATAAGCGAAATATCAAACTTTAAACGATTAAAAATGGCGTCCGACAGAATTTTGTGATCATCAGCCTAAACAAAGATTTCTTATCGTCTTGATTAACTCTACAACAGGACAGGGAAAATGTATCTTACATCATATTGTGTAACAATCATCACAACAAAACGCCATGAGAGGATTTGAAATGGCACATACCTGTATATCTATCGCTTGGAATCCACTTCCGGTTTCACCAGTGTGGCTGTTTCTCTTGGCAACAACATCATCAACAGCGCCACCGTTGTGAATATATTGTCTGAATGAGAAACGAGTTATAGATCTCGCAGCAAATGAGTAATTTATAAAACCTTGGCGGATACCTGCGGATCGATATCAGCCTGGCATTAACACGACTAGTGTTATACATGGATCAGCAGGTGAACTTCAGTGTATATACACAGATATCGATTAAAACCTTTGTATTACATTATGAACCGGATTCCTGTCTTTTTTGTTTTTGAAATACTCCTTATTTGGTTTTCTGATAAAGCAACACGCGCCAGCTTTACGAATTGTGTTAGTTGTTGATAATTTATCCCTGACATGTTCTATTTTCATTATAGCTACTTGTTCACTTTTCATTTAAAACATCGAGAATTGTTTACGTAATAAATTGGTTGATCTTTTCAGTTCCAAGCCCTTATCCATATTAAAAACATTGCCGAGATTCAGGTAAAATTTAATTGAATTATCGTGTTTGTTTAAACTTATGAAAACAAGATAGCATCAAAGTTTTATGATTTAGTACAGAATATCCGTTTCAGAACATTCTTTAGTGTGATTTTAGGGAATTTCTATGACGGATAGATAACTTTCTACTCAGCTGTATAAGTGTGATGATTTCTATTTCCCAAACGAACTTTCCGATCTTAGATAGCGATATTCCTGCTTCCCTAGCCTATCGTGTTTACATGTCACAGTTGGCTAAATATTCTAAAGCTTGTTCCCAATATCATAATGGTAGTGCAAGTTGTCGACAACTGACAGATATATTTACAACACAGGGTTTTGAGAAATGTAGAGTAGTGATAGACATAATAATCGCATTGAGAAACTGTTCTATTCAATTACACGAATAGAAGTCACACATATTTGATGCTCGTTTGTATGTCTAGTAATTCTATTTAATCTTGTTCTCATATGAGAACATTACCTAAATCATTTCGATTATCTGACGTGTGTTGTTGATGACGCGGAAGGCGCTTATAATTCCAAAACCCATCGCTTTATTCTGATTGTGCTTTCCATGACTAGATCTTTTTTTCAAGATTTGCCCCAGTTACATCAAATTTGAATTTGAATTAAGACTTTTCAAAAATGTCAGTATTTTCTGTTCCGTTAGAACCTGTTTAAACGAACTGATTTATATGTTTCAGTTTCATGTGTTGAGTATTTTGAGGTCTGGCGGCTATTTGGTAGCTATTGTAATAAATCGAGATGATTCTTTCGACCAATTTTGATTCTCCTCAGAATTGAGATCTGCAGTAATATCACTTCACTGTGGCTACAATGTACTGATTCTAAAGTAAACTCAGTATAAAAGAAATGTAAGACTCAGACAATATTACAGTGCATATATGACCGCTTCATTACCATCTTTATCGTCATTCTCATTTTGTCTATTTCCCCGAATGTTGTAACATTGAATGTCTATCAGAATTTAATCAATCTGATTTAAATGCAGGTCCTATATCTCGCTCCGCTATGCGGAGAGCGGTGGAGATATTTCGGGTCTGTATTTTAATTAGATTGGTTAGTCAAGAAAACTAAATTATGGATGTTTCATAGCCAACTTCGAGGCAATTACACGAATGGACTTTTGGTATATCTACCACTTATCTGTATGTTGTGACATTGCAAAATGAATATGATACTTTATGTGTGGTTAATAATGAGTTACCTCCCTTGAGCTGTTATTCTAGTCTCCTGTGGCAAACATTTATATCAGTATGTGTGTCACTCGTTTTTTTTCTTTTTTAACCGCTTCATCTTTGTCAAGAAAATTTGTTGAAATGAAACCCCCTTTCGAGAGATTTAATTGATAAAAAGTAAGTAGATGGAAAAAATACTTGATCGTCGACTTGCGTCATGACGCCAACGTTGAACCAGCCGAATTCCGATATTAAGTTTGTTGTCTTAACACGACTCGAGTAATGTTGTCTTTCTTCCTTTTCGATTTCTTACAAACTTTAATTCATCTCTGTCCGGCCTCTCTTAAATGTTCGACATGCAAACATGTGTAGAGAAAATGGTTCTTTTATGTTTTAGGTCCAAGTTTTCACATTTTTTACACCATGTATTGAAAGACTTTAACACCGGGACTATGTAACGCACACTAACGTAGTTCTCAGATTCTTTAGTTACCAGATGTAACAAAGGGATAGATAGTGTGTTAGTGAAGTGTTACTAAGCATCTTTAGATAACCAAAGTAAATCCGTTGTTTTAACTTCAATATCTAATTAACAAACAACAGATCCCAGAGGGATCTTGGCGCCCACTATTGTTTGTTTTTTTATTTGTTCTTTAAAATTTGGATATTTTCTCTCCTTTTCTGTCGTGTTTTTACTCGTAATGATACAAAATTTGAACAGTCATTTGCAGAAGTAGCGATAATAATATTTAACTGCCAAATCCAAGATGGTCACCAATCAGCCTATTTTATTTTTCCTATCAGTTTCAAAACCAAACGGGCACAATTATGGACCAAGAGGAACCTACATATAAAATTTGACAACGATAAATACAGAACTCAAGAAATAGCGATAAAAAAGTTTTCTAGGCAAATTCTAAGGTGACCGTCTGCCAGCCAGTTTGACTCTCTGATCCGTCCCAAAATCAAACGGACAAAACTATGTATCAAGGGAAACCTCTGTATGAAATTTATGAACGAGCCATCCAGTATATATGATATATATGATGATGATGCGCACAAAAAAGTCGCTAAGGCTGGAAAGAGGTTATAGGACAACAAGTTATTATAATACAGGTACAAAAAACATCGCCGCCATTTCGGTAATAGCATATACTTAGGTCTAATTTACGGAATTTTGAAAACAATCGGAGGAAATCCGATCACTTGCACGATAATTTAACTCATTCCATAA